ACGCACGACGTTGGCCTTCCTGGAGAACGGCATTACCACGGCATCTCCAACGGGCATTACCACGGTCACCCTATCACCGGCAGCCATCGAGCGGGACGCGGAGGGCAGGCCTTTGCGTCGAGGCTGTGCCCGTCGAGCAGAAGATCCAGCAGGAGCTGCAGGACCTCAAGTTGCGCGAGACGGAGCTGAAGCGCCTGCACAAGAATAACAGGAACAACATACTGAAGGCTTCGCTAGACAAGCTGTGAGTACACGTCAAGACATTCAAGAATCCTCTTGTCATTTTGCGTTTTTTCGTTTTTAGCCAGCTCAGAACAGACGACGAGGCCAATGCGGACGACGATGACGATTAGGACTCTGTGGTGGAGCACTGCTATGGACCCGGAAAACTGCGCAATGTTCAGTCCACCCAGGAGTTGGATAGAAATGGGCAAGTGTTAGATAACCAACTTAAATAAGTTTGATTCTCATTGAATTTTCATTCTTTATCAATAGCAAACAACCGGTGAACATACACAATTCGGCTGGCAATCGCAGCCTAAATGCAAATGCAGCATTAATGGGATGCGTCCGGCAATGTCGCTGGCTCAGATGTGTGATCTGACGGCAGAGGAGGCCGCGAGGTCTCACTGCCCAGTGGGAAAGCCTGATCAAGAAGAATGCCGAGAACGGGACGGTTATTGACGCGGCCATCATTACTTTTAAAAAAGGTGGGACCATATCCATTATCACTTTTATATCGAAGTGTGACCGCTTTGACTTTCAGCTGCTTGCCTGCAACCATGTGCTGCAGCGACGATCACTAATGACATGCAACCATGTGAAGCTTTGACTATCGACTGCTGGCATGGAACCATGTGCAGCTTTGACATCCTACGTTTTAGGTTATGGTGAATGCGTTCAGGAGCAGCCAAATGATCAGGATGAGCTGGATCAAGACCAGGGCGTGCTGGTCACAGCCCGGCCGGCGGCAGTGCAAACCACTTCGCTCCTGCTGCCCATTGATGAGCCATCCAACACCCTCGCTGGCCTCTAGCGTGAACAGCGCCAAGGAGGATAGCCTCGATGAACCGCATTATGATGACTCGGGCATCTCGGAGCAGCAGCAGCAGCAGCCGCTCAAGCTGACCGTGGTCCCCGCCAGGAGCAGCGTTACATTGGACCCAACTGCCTCAACATCACACCGGAGCTGCCGCAGAAGAAGCTCATCACCAAGACCATTTCCACTCCGCAGCTTAGCGCTGTGCAACAGCGACGATCAGCTGACATGGAGCCATGTGCAGCATTGACTGTGGACTGCAGGCATGCAACCATGTGCAGCCCTGACATCCTACGCTTGGAGCCCCCGCAGCAGAAGCTCATCACCAGGACAATTTCCATGCCGCAGCTAAGCAACAACAACCTCTAGGCCAAGCAGCAGCAGCAGCCGCTTAAGCTGACCGTGGTCACCCGCCAGGATCAGCGTTAAATTGGACATTGGACTGCTACATGACACCGGAGCCGCCGCAGCAGAAGCTCTTCATTTCCATGCCTCAGCTGAGCGGCCTGCACAACCAAGGGCGTGATTCAGCGGTTTACAGCCTTCCATGGCAAGCTGGTGAGCTGGTCGAGGCTACGTGCCCGTCGAGCAGAAAATCCAGCCGAACTGCAGGACCTAAAGTCGCGCGAGACGGAGCTGAAGCGGCTGCGCAAGATTAACAGGCAGAACACACTGATGGCTTTGCTGGACAAGCTGTGAGTAGACGTCAGGCTCTCAAGAATCCTCTTATCATCTTACGTTTTTCGTTTTCAGCCAGCTCAACACGGACGACCCGGAAAACTACGCAATGTCCAGTCCACCCAGGAGTTGGATAGAAATGGCGAGTGTTAGATAACCTACTCAAATAAGTTTGATTCTTATTGAATTTTCATTCTTATATCAACAGCAAGGAGCCGGAGAACGTACACAATCCCGCTGGCAATCGCAGCCTGAATGCAGCCGCCTACATATCCAATGGAGCCAGCAATGGCAGCATATTAATGGGATGCGTCCGGCAATGTCGCTGGCCCAGCTCTGTGATCTGACGCTCAAGGAGGCGCCCTCATCGTGAGGCTTCATTGCCCAGTGGGAAAGGCTGATTGAGAAGAATGTCGAGAACTGGACGGTTATTGAGGCGGTCATCTAAGAGGACGGTCGGAAGAGGGTAGCAGAGGGTCCTCTTTCCCCCCAAAAAACAACACACACCAATCCACCAACGATTATGGTGCAGAGCAGACCAAATTATTATTGTAGTGTCCAAACTTGATACCAATCCTAAGCCCGATGTCCGATACCCGATTCCTGATCCTCTCACACAAGGCGAAAGCTGCTTATCAAGGAATTCATTTAAATTTTACATAAATATACGAAAACGATGTGCGAAACATGATTTAATTAAATAAAAACCCCAAAACTAAACCTTAACAAGCATTTGTTGTAGTTACCTACATTTAAAATGGATATATTCTTGTGTTGTAAAAAATAGCTTGTTGTCGGCAAAAACAAGAATTCAATTTGGTCGTTTCCAGTACAAAATTTTAAATTTCTGGGCCTGGAGTACCAGGCGAACAGAAACCGCAGAAAGCAGATTAATTTTAGTGCAAGAGCTGCAAATTAGAGTTGTCACTATAGCTATATTGTAGCAGAGCTTAAAGCTCTAAGCTCTAAGCTTTAAGCTCTGCTACAATATAGCTATAGTGGCAACTCTAATTTGCAGCTCTTGCACTAAAATTAATCTGCTTTCTGCGGTTTCTGTTCGCCTGGTACTCCAGGCCCACAAATTTAAAATTTTGTACTGGAAACGACCAAATTGAATTCTTGTTTTTGCCGACAACAAGCTATTTTTTACAACAAGAATATATCCATTTTAAATGTAGGTAACTACAACAAATGCTTGTTAAGGTTTAGTTTTGGGGTTTTATTTAATTAAATCATGTTTCGCACATCGTTTTCGTATATTTATGTAAAATTTAAATGAATTCCTTGATAAGCAGCTTTCGCCTTGTGTGGAGAGGATCAGGAATCGGGTATCGGACATCGGGCTTAGGATTGGTATCAAGTTTGGACACTACAATAATAATTTGGTCTGCTCTGCACCAGAATCGTTGGTGGATTGGTGTGTGTTGTTTTTTGGGGGAAAGAGGACCCTCTGCTACCCTTTTCCGACCGTCCTCTTAGATGACCGCCTCAATAACCGTCCAGTTCTCGACATTCTTCTCAATCAGCCTTTCCCACTGGGCAATGAAGCCTGACGATGAGGGCGCCTCCTTGAGCGTCAGATCACAGAGCTGGGCCAGCGACATTGCCGGACGCATCCCATTAAATGCTGCCATTGCTGGCTCCATTGGATATGTAGGCGGCTGCATTCAGGCTGCGATTGCCAGCGGGATTGTGTACGTTCTCCGGCTCCTTGCTGTTGATATAAGAATGAAAATTCAATAAGAATCAAACTTATTTGAGTAGGTTATCTAACACTCGCCCATTTCTATCCAACTCCTGGGTGGACTGGACATTGCGTAGTTTTCCGGGTCGTCCGTGTTGAGCTGGCTGAAAACGAAAAAACGTAAGTGATAAGAGGATTCTTGAGAGCCTGACGTCTACTCACAGCTTGTCCAGCAAAGCCATCAGTGTGTTCTGCCTGTTAATCTTGCGCAGCCGCTTCAGCTCCGTCTCGCGCGACTTTAGGTCCTGCAGTTCGGCTGGATTTTCTGCTCGACGGGCACGTAGCCTCGACCAGCTCACCAGCTTGCCATGGAAGGCTGTAAACCGCTGAATCACGCCCTTGGTTGTGCAGGCCGCTCAGCTGAGGCATGGAAATGAAGAGCTTCTGCTGCGGCGGCTCCGGTGTCATGTAGCAGTCCAATGTCCAATTTAACGCTGATCCTGGCGGGTGACCACGGTCAGCTTAAGCGGCTGCTGCTGCTGCTTGGCCTAGAGGTTGTTGTTGCTTAGCTGCGGCATGGAAATTGTCCTGGTGATGAGCTTCTGCTGCGGGGGCTCCAAGCGTAGGATGTCAGGGCTGCACATGGTTGCATGCCTGCAGTCCACAGTCAATGCTGCACATGGCTCCATGTCAGCTGATCGTCGCTGTTGCACAGCGCTAAGCTGCGGAGTGGAAATGGTCTTGGTGATGAGCTTCTTCTGCGGCAGCTCCGGTGTGATGTTGAGGCAGTTGGGTCCAATGTAACGCTGCTCCTGGCGGGGACCACGGTCAGCTTGAGCGGCTGCTGCTGCTGCTGCTCCGAGATGCCCGAGTCATCATAATGCGGTTCATCGAGGCTATCCTCCTTGGCGCTGTTCACGCTAGAGGCCAGCGAGGGTGTGTTGGATGGCTCATCAATGGGCAGCAGGAGCGAAGTGGTTTGCACTGCCGCCGGCCGGGCTGTGACCAGCACGCCCTGGTCTTGATCCAGCTCATCCTGATCATTTGGCTGCTCCTGAACGCATTCACCATAACCTAAAACGTAGGATGTCAAAGCTGCACATGGTTCCATGCCAGCAGTCGATAGTCAAAGCTTTACATGGTTGCATGTCATTAGTGATCGTCGCTGCAGCACATGGTTGCAGGCAAGCAGCTGAAAGTCAAAGCGGTCACACTTCGATATAAAAGTGATAATGGATATGGTCCCACCTTTTTTAAAAGTAATGATGGCCGCGTCAATAACCGTCCCGTTCTCGGCATTCTTCTTGATCAGGCTTTCCCACTGGGCAGTGAGACCTCGCGGCCTCCTCTGCCGTCAGATCACACATCTGAGCCAGCGACATTGCCGGACGCATCCCATTAATGCTGCATTTGCATTTAGGCTGCGATTGCCAGCCGAATTGTGTATGTTCACCGGTTGTTTGCTATTGATAAAGAATGAAAATTCAATGAGAATCAAACTTATTTAAGTAGGTTATCTAACACTTGCCCATTTCTATCCAACTCCTGGGTGGACTGAACATTGCGCAGTTTTCCGGGTCCATAGCAGTGCTCCACCACAGTCCTAATCGTCATCGTCGTCCGCATTGGCCTCGTCGTCTGTTCTGAGCTGGCTAAAAACGAAAAAACGCAAAATGACAAGAGGATTCTTGAATGTCTTGACGTGTACTCACAGCTTGTCTAGCGAAGCCTTCAGTATGTTGTTCCTGTTATTCTTGTGCAGGCGCTTCAGCTCCGTCTCGCGCAACTTGAGGTCCTGCAGCTCCTGCTGGATCTTCTGCTCGACGGGCACAGCCTCGACGCAAAGGCCTGCCCTCCGCGTCCCGCTCGATGGCTGCCGGTGATAGGGTGACCGTGGTAATGCCCGTTGGAGATGCCGTGGTAATGCCGTTCTCCAGGAAGGCCAACGTCGTGCGTGTGTTCAGCTTGAGGGTGTTGCTGTTGGTGCTGTTGTTGCAGCTGACTTCCATTCTGATTGCTCCCTGAAGTTCTGATGTCGGCATAAAGCAGTTCCAGTAGTGAACTCTTCAGCCTTTGCTCGTAGTGGGGAATCCTGCCAGGACAAAAGAACAAAAAGTTTAGTGACTGCCATCTCTCCTAGATGCCCTTCAAACCCACTTTGATATTTCGTAAAGGAAGCGATCGGTGCGGGCAAGTGACTCAATATCCTCGCTATGCTCATCCAACAGTCACGCTCCTCCGCCGAGAGCGGGAACTTTAGCAGCTGCTAGACCATGTCGAGTATCAGCTTCTTGTTGCTGTCCATCGGGAGAATGGCCCTAGAAGAGAAGACATTAGTATTTGGAACCAGAAGGTGGCCAAGCAACTCCTACTTTGATATCTTCATATAGCTCATCTTCAGCTTGCTGAGCAGGATGGTGCAGTTCTGGGCCCGGCGTCCATCGATCTCTGAGAGCACCTTGCTTGCTTGGCTGGCTTGCCGCCAGTTGCTCGCAGATCTCATAGGAGCCATCAATAGCCTGTGAAAAGAGGGGAGAACATTAAATAAGGGAAGATCTTTCATTGGCATCTTTTCTAGACACTAACCGATACCGCATTCTTTTGTTAAGCCGAAAAGAATTTGTCTATCGACTCCAACTCCATGTTTTACAGCTTGCTTTCGTCAAGCTCGCTTCAGACGGTGCCCTAGCTACAAAGGATAGAAATTAATTTATGTGACGTTCCTTAACTTGAATTAACTCTGTACTCACCCATTGCTGGCGTATTGTTGCAAATCCTCCGCCTTCATTTTGGTAGTCTGCACGCGCTGCACCGTCTGCGAATGCTGAGCGGACTCCTCCAAACGTTCGCGCATGCGTGTCAGACCCGTTTCAATATCCTCCTTCTGCTGCATGCAGAATCAAGAAGTTCTGAAAATAATATATAATCAAATTATTAAATAAACACCAGCTGTTACCAAAGTTGAAGAATGAACTAAAGCTAACTAAAATTAATGCTTTTTTGTTTAGCTGAATTACGAGATTTTTAAACTTTGATTTGTCAACAAATAAAATGCATGTAAAAATATATAGTTCAATAATATTGCAGAGAGTATTATACTTTTAATCAGTGGAGGTACGACCCTATAGACCCGAAAATGACTCCTTCACTGATTAAAATTATATTTTCCTCTGCAAGAATCTTAAAATTCAAATTTTATTTGATCATTTTTATTCCCTTGCATGGTATTATAATTTTACTCAAAAGTTTGGAACGCAGTAACGCCCCTATTAAGTAAACATATTCTTGATCAGCATCAACAGCTCTCCCTTTCTCCTCTCTCTTACTCTCTCTGCCTCTTTTTATCCGGTAGGTCCAACTCCCAATGTGCATCTTCAGAGCGAACTCTTTCTCTGTATGTTTCTCCGCCTATCTTACTCTCTCACTTTCTCTGTTCTCTTGACTCGGGAACTATAAATAGAGGCACTTCGTTCGCCGCGACCTCAGTCTGTCCTAGGGGTACCTAGTGTTTACATCGATAGTGATAGTGATTAAAGGAATGACGTGGCCAATGGAATACATCTGGATAACCAGGAAGTGATCTTCGATATTATGACTACCCTAATTGAAGTCAACAAGATTCAAAGTCTACACTGGAAGGAAGTAAACTACACTCAGGTAAGTCTTAATCATGACAATTATATTATTATATGGAAGGAAGTAAACAATGACGTGTCCTCCACTGGGGTAAGTCTTAATAATGACTATATCATATACATATAACGATGCTATAGGAGGGATCAGGCCTTGGTCTAGATTCAGCTCTGCTAGCTATGCATTTATTTTTCAATTAATTCCCTTATTTCCATGGATCCCATTACTTATTTTTAATTTAAAGTGATTCAGTAATTTGTATTGAGGATATCTACAAACGTATACTCAAAGTTAAAAGCCTAAATTAATTATAAGATCTTACTCTTTCGATAGTTTTATAACTGACCCTGACCCTAGCTAGACCGACTCGGCTGATGATGGTGATCTAGAATATACATATAATATTTATAGGGTCGAAAATGACTCCTTCACAGTATTACAAGCTTTCGACAAAAATTAGAATAGTATAAAAACTCACCTGGCCAAGGATGAGTGCTACTTCTCCTGGGCATCACGAGCTGTATTGGCCTCATCCTCATCGTACCGGTTACAGTTGTACCAGGAGAGCGTTAGAACAGTTCTGGTTCTTGCACACCATATGGTTGCAAGTCTCTCTCAATGGTCACACTGCACAACTCTTTGGTATTGGCCGCGATCCAGTTGGATGTTTCTGACGTCTGAGCACTTCTTTAGCCCGCGGCATTTGACCGGATCGGGATCGGATATAAACCTCTGATATCGATCACTCGGGTGGACTGAACAATGCGCAGTTTTACGGGTCCATTGGAAATCGTCACATTGGCCTCGTCGTCTGTGCTGAGCGGCTTAAAACGGTAAAATGACAAGAGGGAAGACGAGCTTGTCCAGCGAAGCCTTCAGTATGTTGTGCCTGTTAGCAGGCGCTTCAGCTCCGTCTCGCGCAACTTGAGGTCCTGCAGCTCCTGCTGGATCTTCTGCTCGACGGGCACAGCCTCGACGCAAACGAGTCCCGCTCGATTACTGTCGGTGATAGGGTGACTGTGGTAATGCCCGTTGGAGATGCCGTGGTAATGCCGTTCTCCAGGAAGGCCAGCCGTGCGTGTGTTCAGCTTGAGGGTGTTGCTGTTGCTGCTCTGATTTAACATTCCGGAGCTGATGATGTTGATGTTGATGATGTTGCCCAATGGCGAGGCGGCGGCAGGGGATTATTGGGTGCCACCAGATTGCCATGGAAGGCAATAAACCGCTCAATTACGCCCTTGGTAGATGCACCACCGAAGGCAAACTGACGCTTCTGGCGCAGGCCGCTTAGCTGAGAAGTAAAAATGGTGTCATGTTGAGGCAGTTAGGTCCAATGTAACGCTGCTCCTGGTGGGTGACCACGATCAGCTTGAGCGGCTGCTGCTGCTGCTGGTGCTTGGCCTGGAGGTTGTTGTTGCTCTGCGAGGAGTCCGAGATGCCAGAGTCATCCGAATGCTGGCCATCGAGGCTCTCCTCCTTGGCGCTGTTCACGCTAGAGGCCAGCGAGGGTGTGTTGGATGGCTCATCAATGGGCAGCAGGAGCGAAGTGGTTTGCACTGCCGCCGGCCGGGCTGTGACCAGCACGCCCTGGTCTTGATCCAGCTCATCTGATCATTTGGCTGCTCCTGAACGCATTCACCATAACCTAAAACGTAGGATGTCAAAGCTGCACATGGTTCCATGCCAGCAGTCGATAGTCAAAGCTTCACATGGTTGCATGTCATTAGTGATCGTCGCTGCAGCACATGGTTGCAGGCAAGCAGCTGAAAGTCAAAGCAGTCACACTTCGATATAAAAGTAGCGAAAGTCACTCTGCAAAAAGCTTGGGATAATGGATATGGTCCCACCTTTTTAAAAGTAATGATGGCCGCCTCAATAACCGTCCCGTTCTCGGCATTCTTCTTGATCAGGCTTTCCCATGGGCAGTGAGACCTCGCGGCCTCCTCGTCAGATCACACATCTGAGCCAGCGACATTGCCGGTAATGCTGCATTCAGGCTGCGATTGCCAGCATTGCTGTTGATAAAGAATGAAAATTCAATGAGAATCAAACTTATTTAAGTAGGTTATCTAACACTTGCCCATTTCTATCCAACTCCTGGGTGGACTGAACAATGCGCAGTTTTCCGGGTCCATAGCAGTGCTCCACCTCAGAGTCCTAATCGGCCTCGTCGTCTTTGCTGAGCTGGCTGAAAACGAAAGTAAAATGACAAGAGGATTATTGAATGCCTTGACGTGTACTCACAGCTTGTCCAGCGAAGCCTTCAGTCTCTTGCGCAGGCGCTTTAACTTGAGGTCCTGCAGCTCCTGCTTCTGCTCGACGGGCACGTAGCCTTCACCAGCTTGCCATGGAAAACCGCTGAAAAATGGAAATGTCCAAGCAGTCCAATGAACGCTGATCCTTTGACTACGGTCAATCCTGACAAGCTCTGCACATGGTTGCATGCAGTTCAAATGGCTCCATGTCAGCTGATGCACAGCGCTAAGCTGCCTGACAGCTCCGGTGTGATGTTGAGGCAGTTGGGTCCAATGTAACGCTGCTCCTGTCAGCTTGAGCGGCTGCTGCTGCTGCTGCTCGAGATCCGAGTCATCCGAATGCTGGCCATCGAGGGCGCTGTTCACGCTAGAGGCCAGCGAGGGTGTGTTGGATGGCTCATCAATGGGCAGCAGGAGCGAAGTGGTTTGCACTGCCGCCGGCCGGGCTGTGACCAGCACGCCCTGGTCTTGATCCAGCTCATCCTGATCATTTGGCTGCTCCTGAACGCATTCACCATAACCTAAACGTAGGATGTCAAAGCTGCACATGGTTCCATGCCAGCAGTCGATAGTCAAAGCTTCACATGGTTGCATGTCATTAGTGATCGTCGCTGCAGCACATGGTTGCAGGCAAGCAGCTGAAAGTCAAAGCGGTCACACTTCGATATAAAAGTGATAATGGATATGGTCCCACCTTTTTAAAAGTAATGATGGCCGCGTCAATAACCGTCCCGTTCTCGGCATTCTTCTTGATCAGGCTTTCCCACTGGGCAGTGAGACCTCGCGGCCTCCTCTGCCGTCAGATCACACATCTGAGCCAGCGACATTGCCGGACGCATCCCATTAATGCTGCATTTGCATTTAGGCTGCGATTGCCAGCCGAATTGTGTATGTTCACCGGTTGTTTGCTATTGATAAAGAATGAAAATTCAATGAGAATCAAACTTATTTAAGTAGGTTATCTAACACTTGCCCATTTCTATCCAACTCCTGGGTGGACTGAACATTGCGCAGTTTTCCGGGTCCATAGCAGTGCTCCACCACAGAGTCCTAATCGTCATCGTCGTCCGCATTGGCCTCGTCGTCTGTTCTGAGCTGGCTAAAAACGAAAAAACGCAAAATGACAAGAGGATTCTTGAATGCCTTGACGTGTACTCACAGCTTGTCCAGCGAAGCCTTCAGTATGTTGTTCCTGTTATTCTTGTGCAGGCGCTTCAGCTCCGTCTCGCGCAACTTGAGGTCCTGCAGCTCCTGCTGGATCTTCTGCTCGACGGGCACAGCCTCGACGCAAAGGCCTGCCCTCCGCCCGCTCGATGGCTGCCGGTGATAGGGTGACCGTGGTAATGCCCGTTGGAGATGCCGTGGTAATGCCGTTCTCCAGGAAGGCCAACGTCGTGCGTGTGTTCAGCTTGAGGGTGTTGCTGTTGGTGCTGTTGTTGCAGCTGACTTCCATTCTGATTGCTCCCTGAAGTGCTGATGTCGGCATAAAGCAGTTCCAGTAGTGAACTCTTCAGCCTTTGCTCGTAGTGGGGAATCCTGCCAGGACAAAAGAACAAAAAGTTTAGTGACTGCCATCTCTCCTAGATGCCCTTCAAACCCACTTTGATATTTCGTAAAGGAAGCGATCGGTGCGGGCAAGTGACTCAATATCCTCGCTATGCTCATCCAACAGTCACGCTCCTCCGCCGAGAGCGGGAACTTTAGCAGCTGCTAGACCATGTCGAGTATCAGCTTCTTGTTGCTGTCCATCGGGAGAATGGCCCTAGAAGAGAAGACATTAGTATTTGGAACCAGAAGGTGGCCAAAGCAACTCCTACTTTGATATCTTCATATAGCTCATCTTCAGCTTGCTGAGCAGGATGGTGCAGTTCTGGGCCCGGCGTCCATCGATCTCTGAGAGCACCTTGCTTGCTTGGCTGGCTTGCCGCCAGTTGCTCGCAGATCCTCATAGGAGCCATCAATAGCCTGTGAAAAGAGGGGAGAACATTAAATAAGGGAAGATCTTTCATTGGCATCTTTTCTAGACACTAACCGATACCGCATTCTTTTGTTAAGCCGAAAAGAATTTGTCTATCGACTCCAACTCCATGTTTTACAGCTTGCTTTCGTCAAGCTCGCTTCAGACGGTGCCCTAGATACAAAGGATAGAAATTAATTTATGTGACGTTCCTTAACTTGAATTAACTCTGTACTCACCCATTGCTGGCGTATTGTTGCAAATCCTCCGCCTTCATTTTGGTAGTCTGCACGCGCTGCACCGTCTGCGAATGCTGAGCGGACTCCTCCAAACCCGTTTCAATATCCTCCTTCTGCTGCATGCAGAATCAAGAAGTTCTGAAAATAATATATAATCAAATTATTAAATAAACACCAGCTGTTACCAAAGTTGAAGAATGAACTAAAGCTAACTAAAATTAATGCTTTTTTGTTTAGCTGAATTACGAGATTTTTAAACTTTGATTTGTCAACAAATAAAATGCATGTAAAAATATATAGTTCAATAATATTGCAGAGAGTATTATACTTTTAATCAGTGGAGGTACGACCCTATAGAGCCGAAAATGACTCCTTCACTGATTAAAATTATATTTTCCTCTGCAAGAATCTTAAAATTCAAATTTTATTTGATCATTTTATTCCCTTGCATGGTATTATAATTTTACTCAAAGTTTGGAACGCAGTAACGCCCCTATTAAGTAAACATATTCTTGATCAGCATCAACAGCTCTCCCTTTCTCCCTCTCTCTTACTCTCTCTGCCTCTTTTTATCCGGTAGGTCCAACTCCCAATGTGCATCTTCAGAGCGAACTCTTTCTCTGTATGTTTCTCCGCCTATCTCTTACTCTCTCACTTTCTCTGTTCTCTTGACTCGGGAACTATAAATAGAGGCACTTCGTTCGCCGCGACCTCAGTCTGTCCTAGGGGTACCTAGTGTTTACATCGATAGTGATAGTGATTAAAGGAATGACGTGGCCAATGGAATACATCTGGATAACCAGGAAGTGATCTTCGATATTATGACTACCCTAATTGAAGTCAACAAGATTCAAAGTCTACACTGGAAGGAAGTAAACTACACTCAGGTAAGTCTTAATCATGACAATTATATTATTATATGGAAGGAAGTAAACAATGACGTGTCCTCCACTGGGGTAAGTCTTAATAATGACAATTATATCATATACATATAACGATGCTATAGGAGGGATCAGGCCTTGGTCTAGATTCAGCTCTGCTAGCTATGCATTTATTTTTCAATTAATTCCCTTATTTCCATGGATCCCATTACTTATTTTTAATTTAAAGTGATTCAGTAATTTGTATTGAGGATATCTACAAACGTATACTCAAAGTTAAAAGCCTAAATTAATATAAGATCTTACTCTTTCGATAGTTTTATAACTGACCCTGACCCTAGCTAGACCGACTCGGCTGATGATGGTGATCTAGAATATACATATAATATTTTAGGGTCGAAAATGACTCCTTCACAGTATTACAAGCTTTCGACAAAAATTAGAATAGTATAAAAACTCACCTGGCCAAGGATGAGTGCTACTTCTCCTGGGCATCACGAGCTGTATTGGCCTCATCCTCATCGTACCGGTTACAGTTGTACCAGGAGGAGCGTGCGGCTTCCAGAAGCCGAGGCAGACCCAACAGAACTCGTTCTTGCAGTTCTGGTTCTTGCACACCATATGGTTGCAACCGCCGTCTCTCTCAATGGTCACACTGCACTTGTGAAACTCTTTGGTATTGGCCGATCCAGTTGGATTTCTGAGACGTCGCACTTCTTTAGCCGCGGCATTTGACCGGATCGGGATCGGATATAACTGCTCCACCTGCAGCACAACCTGATGGACCACGCAATCGATCACTCGCCCATTCTATCCAAGGTGGACTGAACAATGCGCAGTTTTCCGGGTCCATAGCAGTGCTCCACCACAGAGTCCTAATCGTCATCGTCGTCCGCATTGGCCTCGTCGTCTGTGCTGAGCGGGCTTAAAACGAAAAAACGTAAAATGACAAGAGGATTCTTGAATGCCTTGACGTGTACTCACAGCTTGTCCAGCGAAGCCTTCAGTATGTTGTGCCTGTTATTCTTGTGCAGGCGCTTCAGCTCCGTCTCGCGCAACTTGAGGTCCTGCAGCTCCTGCTGGATCTTCTGCTCGACGGGCACAGCCTCGACGCAAAGGCCTGCCCTCCGAGTCCCGCTCGATTACTGTCGGTGATAGGGTGACTGTGGTAATGCCCGTTGGAGATGCCGTGGGCCGTTCTCCAGGAAGGCCAGCACCGTGCGTGTGTTCAGCTTGAGGGTGTTGCTGTTGCTGCTCTGATTTAACATTCCGGAGCTGATGATGTTGATGTTGATGATGTTGCCCAATGGCGAGGCGGCAGGGGATTATTGGGTGCCACCAGATTGCCATGGAAGGCAATAAACCGCTCAATTACGCCCTTGGTAGATGCACCACCGAAGGCAAACTGACGCTTCTGGCGCAGGCCGCTTAGCTGAGAAGTAAAAATGGTGTCATGTTGAGGCAGTTAGGTCCAATGTAACGCTGCTCCTGGTGGGTGACACGATCAGCTTGAGCGGCTGCTGCTGCTGCTGGTGCTTGGCCTGGAGGTTGTTGTTGCTCTGCGAGGAGTCCGAGATGCCAGAGTCATCCGAATGCTGGCCATCGAGGCTCTCCTCCTTGGCGCTGTTCACGCTAGAGGCCAGCGAGGGTGTGTTGGATGGCTCATCAATGGGCAGCAGGAGCGAAGTGGTTTGCACTGCCGCCGGCCGGGCTGTGACCAGCACGCCCTGGTCTTGATCCAGCTCATCCTGATCATTTGGCTGCTCCTGAACGCATTCACCATAACCTAAAACGTAGGATGTCAAAGCTGCACATGGTTCCATGCCAGCAGTCGATAGTCAAAGCTTCACATGGTTGCATGCCATTAGTGATCGTCGCTGCAGCACATGGTTGCAGGCAAGCAGCTGAAAGTCAAAGCGGTCACACTTCGATATAAAAGTGATAATGGATATGGTCCCACCTTTTTTAAAAGTAATGATGGCCGCGTCAATAACCGTCCCGTTCTCGGCATTCTTCTTGATCAGGCTTTCCCACTGGGCAGTGAGACCTCGCGGCCTCCTCTGCCGTCAGATCACACATCTGAGCCAGCGACATTGCCGACGCATCCCATTAATGCTGCATTTGCATTTAGGCTGCGATTGCCAGCCGAATTGTGTATGTTCACCGGTTGTTTGCTATTGATAAAGAATGAAAATTCAATGAGAATCAAACTTATTTAAGTAGGTTATCTAACACTTGCCCATTTCTATCCAACTCCTGGGTGGACTGAACATTGCGCAGTTTTCCGGGTCCATAGCAGTGCTCCACCACAGAGTCCTAATCGTCATCGTCGTCCGCATTGGCCTCGTCGTCTGTTCTGAGCTGGCTAAAAACGAAAAAACGCAAAATGACAAGAGGATTCTTGAATGCCTTGACGTGTACTCACAGCTTGTCCAGCGAAGCCTTCAGTATGTTGTTCCTGTTATTCTTGTGCAGGCGCTTCAGCTCCGTCTCGCGCAACTTGAGTCCTGCAGCTCCTGCTGGATCTTCTGCTCGACGGGCACAGCCTCGACGCAAAGGCCTGCCCTCCGCGTCCCGCTCGATGGCTGCCGGTGATAGGGTGACCGTGGTAATGCCCGTTGGAGATGCCGTGGTAATGCCGTTCTCCAGGAAGGCCAACGTCGTGCGTGTGTTCAGCTTGAGGGTGTTGCTGTTGGTGCTGTTGTTGCAGCTGACTTCCATTCTATTGCCCTGAAGTGCTGATGTCGGCATAAAGCAGTTCCAGTAGTGAACTCTTCAGCCTTTGCTCGTAGTGGGGAATCCTGCCAGGACAAAAGAACAAAAAGTTTAGTGACTGCCATCTCTCCTAGATGCCCTTCAAACCCACTTTGATATTTCGTAAAGGAAGCGATCGGTGCGGGCAAGTGACTCAATATCCTCGCTATGCTCATCCAACAGTCACGCTCCTCCGCCGAGAGCGGGAACTTTAGCAGCTGCTAGACCATGTCGAGTATCAGCTTCTTGTTGCTGTCCATCGGGAGAATGGCCCTAGAAGAGAAGACATTAGTATTTGGAACCAGAAGGTGGCCAAAGCAACTCCTACTTTGATATCTTCATAGCTCATCTTCAGCTTGCTGAGCAGGATGGTGCAGTTCTGGGCCCGGCGTCCATCGATCTCTGAGAGCACCTTGCTTGCTTGGCTGGCTTGCCGCCAGTTGCTCGCAGATCCTCATAGGAGCCATCAATAGCCTGTGAAAGAGGGGGAGAACATTAAATAAGGGAAGATCTTTCATTGGCATCTTTTCTAGACACTAACCGATACCGCATTCTTTTGTTAAGCCGAAAAGAATTTGTCTATCGACTCCAACTCCATGTTTTACAGCTTGCTTTCGTCAAGCTCGCTTCAGACGGTGCCCTAGATACAAAGGATAGAAATTAATTTATGTGACGTTCCTTAACTTGAATTAACTCTGTACTCACCCATTGCTGGCGTATTGTTGCAAATCCTCCGCCTTCATTTTGGTAGTCTGCACGCGCTGCACCGTCTGCGAATGCTGAGCGGACTCCTCCAAACCCGTTTCAATATCCTCCTTCTGCTGCATGCAGAATCAAGAAGTTCTGAAAATAATATATAATCAAATTATTAAATAAACACCAGCTGTTACCAAAGTTGAAGAATGAACTAAAGCTAACTAAAATTAATGCTTTTTTGTTTAGCTGAATTACGAGATTTTTAAACTTTGATTTGTCAACAAATAAATGCATGTAAAAATATATAGTTCAATAATATTGCAGAGAGTATTATACTTTTAATCAGTGAGGTACGACCCTATAGAGCCGAAAATGACTCCTTCACTGATTAAATTATATTTTCTCTGCAAGAATCTTAAAATTTTCCTCTGCAAAATCTTAAAATTCAAATTTTATTTGATCATTTTTATTCCCTTGCATGGTATTATAATTTTACTCAAAAGTTTGGAACGCAGTAACGCCCCTATTAAGTAAACATATTCTTGATCAGCATCAACAGCTCTCCCTTTCTCCCTCTCTCTTACTCTCTCTGCCTCTTTTTATCCGGTAGGTCCAACTCCCAATGTGCATCTTCAGAGCGAACTCTTTCTCTGTATGTTTCTCCGCCTATCTCTTACTCTCTCACTTCTCTGTTCTCTTGACTCGGGAACTATAAATAGAGGCACTTCGTTCGCCGCGACCTCAGTCTGTCCTAGGGGTACCTAGTGTTTTACATCGATAGTGATAGTGATTAAAGGAATGACGTGGCCAATGGAATACATCTGGATAACCAGGAAGTGATCTTCGATATTTATGACTACCCTAATTGAAGTCAACAAGATTCGAAGTCTACACTGGAAGGAAGTAAACTACACTCAGGTAAGTCTTAATCATGACAATTATATTATTTATGGAAGGAAGTAAAAATGACGTGTCCTCCACTGGGGTAAGTCTTAATAATGACAATTTATCATATACATATAACGATGCTATAGGAGGGATCAGGCCTTGGTCTAGATTCAGCTCTGCTAGCTATGCATTTATTTTTCAATTAATTCCCTTATTTCCATGGATCCCATTACTTATTTTTAATTTAAAGTGATTCAGTAATTTGTATTGAGGATATCTACAAACGTATACTCAAAGTTAAAAGCCTAAATTAATTATAAGATCTTACTCTTTCGATAGTTTTATAACTGACCCTGACCCTAGCTAGACCGACTCGGCTGATGATGGTGATCTAGAATATACATATAATATTTATAGGGTCGAAAATGACTCCTTCACAGTATTACAAGCTTTCGACAAAAATTAGAATAGTATAAACTCACCTGGCCAAGGATGAGTGCTACTTCTCCTGGGCATCACGAGCTGTATTGGCCTCATCCTCATCGTACCGGTTACAGTTGTACCAGGAGGAGCGTGCGGCTTCCAGAAGCCGAGGCAGACCAACAGAAATGCAGTTCTGGTTCTTGCACACCATATGGTTGCAACCGCCGTCTCTCTCAATGGTCACACTGCACTTGTGAAACTCTTTGGTATTGGCCGCGATCCAGTTGGATGTTCTGAGTCGTCGTCGCACTTCTAGCCCGCGGCATTTGACCGGATCGGGATCGGATATAAGTGGCTGATTGGCCGCTGCTCCACCTGCAGCACAACCTGATGGACCACGCAATCGATCACTCGCCCATATCTATCCAACTTCTGGGTGGACTGAACAATGCGCAGTTTTCCGGTCCATAGCAGTGCTCCACCACAGAGTCCTAATCGTCATCGTCGTCCGCATTGGCCTCGTCGTCTGTGCTGAGCGGGCTTAAAACGAAAAAACGTAAAATGACAAGAGGATTCTTGAATGCCTTGACGTGTACTCACAGCTTGTCCAGCGAAGCCTTCAGTATGTTGTGCCTGTTATTCTTGTGCAGGCGCTTCAGCTCCGTCTCGCGCCTTGAGGTCCTGCAGCTCCTGCTGGATCTTCTGCTCGACGGGCACAGCCTCGACGCAAAGGCCTGCCCTCCGAGTCCCGCTCGATTACTGTCGGTGATAGGGTGACTGTGGTAATGCCCGTTGGAGATGCCGTGGTAATGCCGTTCTCCAGGAAGGCCAGCACCGTGCGTGTGTTCAGCTTGAGGGTGTTGCTGTTGCTGCTCTGATTTAACATTCCGGAGCTGATGATGTTGATGTTGATGATGTTGCCCAATGGCGAGGCGGCGGCAGGGGATTATTGGTGCCACCAGATTGCCATGGAAGGCAATAAACCGCTCAATTACGCCCTTGGTAGATGCACCACCGAAGGCAAACTGACGCTTCTGGCGCAGGCCGCTTAGCTGAGAAGTAAAATGGTGTCATATTGAGGCAGTTAGGTCCAATGTAACGCTGCTCCTGGTGGGTGACACGATCAGCTTGAGCGGCTGCTGCTGCTGCTGGTGCTTGGCCTGGAGGTTGTTGTTGCTCTGCGAGGAGTCCGAGATGCCATAGTCATCCGAATGCTGGCCATCGAGGCTCTCCTCCTTGGCGCTGTTCACGCTAGAGGCCAGCGAGGGTGTGTTGGATGGCTCATCAATGGGCAGCAGGAGCGAAGTGGTTTGCACTGCCGCCGGCCGGGCTGTGACCAGCACGCCCTGGTCTTGATCCAGCTCATCCTGATCATTTGGCTGCTCCTGAACGCATTCACCATAACCTAAAACGTAGGATGTCAAAGCTGCACATGGTTCCATGCCAGCAGTCGATAGTCAAAGCTTCACATGGTTGCATGCCATTAGTGATCGTCGCTGCAGCACATGGTTGCAGGCAAGCAGCTGAAAGTCAAAGCGGTCACACTTCGTATAAAAGTGATAATGGATATGGTCCCACCTTTTTTAAAAGTAATGATGGCCGCGTCAATAACCGTCCCGTTCTCGGCATTCTTCTTGATCAGGCTTTTCCACTGGGCAGTGAGACCTCGCGGCCTCCTCTGCGTCAGATCACACATCTG